ATACAACTATAAATACAAATACAAATATAAATGTAGCTCTGAACTTTAATTTTTTCCTCGATTTCCTGAGGGATTCCAGCCCTCCTGGGATGTGTTTTGATGTCTCTTGGTTCTGATTCCATTTCTCAGGATGCCCAYGAGCTGTTCCATGTCCTGACCTCTTCCCTGGAGGATGAACGGGATCATCAGCCCCGTGTGACCCATCTGTTYGATGTGCATTCCCTGGAGGTGATCCCACTTATTTCCTTAGCAGAAATTCCAGGAATCTGCTTGGATTCCCAAGTAGAAAGTGACTATTTAGGATATTTTTATTCTGTTCCTAAAGCTCATCAGTAAGTCAGGCAATTTGAAAGAATTATCAGGTTTTCCAAAGAACATAGCTTTGAATTTCCCGTGATCCTGCTTTCCTGAGGATTTTTGCATCCCTCAGTCCATGGGATTTAGGGATTTAAATTAGCACTGAGCAGGAGTCCCTCCAAGCAGTTACTATGATCTGTAGTAGACACATGAAAAAGGGTTGAAAACTGCAAAATGGACATTTCTGGAAGAGCTKTATGGAGGGAAAGTTTATCTTATCCTCCAGCTTGGTGATAAACTTAATTCAGATGGAAAATATCTGCTTTTTTTGCCTAAAATATACACCAAAAAAATCTAAAATCTCCTGTATTAATGCTCCGAGGCAGAGAATTTTGCAGATTAATGATTCCTTGTATAAGCAATGGTAAATTATAAATTTGTTTTGTACCAGGTTTTTTTTGTTCTTCAAATACAAAGAGCCACTGAGATTCCCACAATTTTTCTTATGCCAGAAAAGCCAATTAGGGATGAAATAGGAACATATTTAATACTTAATGTATTAAATTTCTAAATATTTTCTATGTTGCTGAGGTAGGGTTAATGAAATGTTTTTATCTCCCTCTGTAGCAACCAGAAATAACCCAAAAGCAAATAAGCTGCAGGACAAGAGGTARGATTTTATCCATTCTGGATATTCTGAATATTCATAATGTTGTTGTTTTGYTTATTAAGGGGATCATATTAATTGATCTTTGTATTGAATAGTCAAAAATATAAATAAACTTACCATTAATTATAATTATAATTACACAGAATGTGTTTGAGAGCCATTAATTTTGTTACTGCCAGGCAAAAGTGTGGGATTGGAGTGATGAACGTGGATGTGTGGAAAATCAAAGGGCAWTTCCAACTTTGTGTTGCAGGATCCCTTCCCCCTGTGTCCAACCACTGGAAATCTCAGCACCCTTTCCATGGAAGGCTGACCAGCAACATGGTTTGCAAACACTGTGAGCACCAGGTAAAAAAAAACAGCTGAGTTTAGACATTGGTGAAAATAAAGGAAGTTTTATATTATTATTTAATATCTGTGTAATGGGGAAAGGGATGTGCAGGACTCACAGCTCACTGCTCATTTTTCAGGTGTTTATTGTGGTGTGGTGATCAATAAGGATTTGTCACTGAATAGACTGAAAAAAAGATCAGTGTGATGCACTTCATGAGGGGCAAGAGCTGTCTCATCAGACAGAATAATGGATGTTTTATTAAATTACTGAATTAACAATTAATTAATAATATTATCTGAAAATGCACTCATATGGGGAAGTTTAGGATTCGCTGCTCGTTCAGCACATTGAGACTGCAAAGGCACTTTTAAAATCCAATTATCCCAAGTGAGGAGATGAAGATAACCTGGATAAAGGAAAAAAAAATACAGAAAATAAACCTCATTTATAGATCAAACAAAGAGACCATTTGCRTTTTACTGCCCAAAACCTTGCAAATAAATTGGAGTGAGCAGGAAGAGGCCGAGTAGAACATTCTTGCAGTTCTCTGGCACTGTGCTTGGGAAATTGGGGAGTTTGAATCCTGTTCCACCAGGGAATTATGGACAGCACGGGGCATAGGTTCATCCTGGGAGCGCTCAGTTGGATTTTTTTGGGGACTGACATAAATTTTGACTCTGGAATTTTCTCTTTGCAGAGTCCTGTGAGGTTTGACACCTTCGACAGCCTCTCGCTGAGCATTCCAGCAGCTGTGTGGGTACGTATCCCACTGCTCCCTGATCCAGCCAGGCTGMCTGGCACCTTGCCTCTACCTTCCCAGGGCCTTTCTCAGCTGCAGAGGACATTCAGAGCTGCCTCAGGAGTTTATTTTCTTGCTTTTTTATAATCCTGTGCTGCTGCAGGACCTCACTAGTGCGTGGTGCAAGGTCCCAGTGAGTCCAACAAACATGACTTGGTGACACCACCAGAGTTTTCTGTTTCTCCTGGTGGAGGATTTGCTCTTTTCTGTGGAATTTGAGGATCCCAGCTTGGGAAGGTGACCTTCAGCTGCTTTTTCCCTGGCAGGTCACACCTTACCCCATCCAGCCTTTTCCATCGAGTGATTTCAACTGGGAATTGTTTCCATTTCTTTCTGCCTCTGAAAAACTTCAAATGACAAAATACTGGAGAGTTTGGGGGCAATATTTGGAGGATATTTTTGGACTGTGAGGGTTTGTTATTTCATGTCTGGTAGTGATTCCTTCCCACAACRACTTGCACTTGTGGAAATTCTGATTCCTGCTTGCAGAGTGCCCTCCTGGACAGCCAGGATTGGGATTTGGACACGTCTTGYGCTCTTTGTGTTTTGTTTGATCCCATCATTGAAGATGATTCCCTTCATCCTTGGCAGGGCAGGATATGTTTCTCCTATGGAGAGAGTCAGAGARCATAAAATTTCTATGGAATTATTAAAAATCCTTTCCCAAAATCCAGTGGAATGCACCTTAAAAATTCCTGCAAATAATTCTGGCTTTTCTTGGCACTCAGGGTCGTCCCATGACGCTGGACCATTGTCTCCATCACTTCATCTCCTCAGAGTCTGTGAAGGATGTCGTGTGTGACAACTGCACCAAAGTAGGTCACTTCAGTTCCTGTCACTTCAGTTCCTGTCACTTCAAGTCCTGTCACCTCCCAGCTCGGTTTGGAGCCTGCTGACACAATTCTGGCTTTACTTTGCAGTTCCTTTTTCTTCAGGACTTGGGGAAAGCCTCTGGGATTGCAAATATTTTACGAGGAGTTCTTATCTCAGAGGATATTTGAGGCTTTTTTACTACCATCATTACAAAATCTACAAAAATTTTATTCTGTAGTTACCAGATGTGACTTTAAGAGGGTATTTGGGATAATTTTTTGCTCTGGTATTGTTTAAAAATCAACAGAAGAGGCAAATGAGTGCACATAAACCTGGAGGTGGGGTTTTTTCTTGAAATGCTCATTTCTGCTTGATTTTGGTTTGGAATTCTCATCCTTTAGGAACTCTGAGCATTCATAAGTGAAATTAATGCACTGAGCTACTTCTAAACAGACAACTGCTGATGCCTCCATATTTTTTTCCCTTTTGATTCCAGATCCAGGCAGAAGGAATTCTGAATGGACAGAGCATAGAAAACCAGAGAACAACGTTTGTTAAGCAATTAAAGTTGGGAAAGGTGAGGCAAAGAAACCCCTCCAAATCTCCTAAATCCTGTCACACAGTAACTTCTTTCTTTGATCTGGTTGTGTCCACTTCTTGCTACTAGACCACAAATGTTTAACTTTCCAAGGTAAACTCATCTGGCAAATATTTGTAGGCACTGAGGCCTCAACTCAGCAAAACATCAAACATTAAACTCTTAAAGGATGTGAATATTCTCCTGTTATTTGGCAAATCATTTAAATGTGAGTTTGGACAGTGGCACATCTTAGATTTGACATTAATTCTTTGATGAGCAAACTGATTTCTATTTACAGGGTTTGTAGCATTTTCAGCAATTGCACATTTGAGAGAAATTAAAATATTCTGAATACACCTGGGGAATAAACATCAGATGTGATTTCTTTGAGAAAACTAATTTTTTTTTGCTCTGTAATCCTGCCATGCAGAGGCCAGCAGGGCACTGGTGTGTAATTAAGAGCCTCAGGTGCTAATAATAGTAATAATAATAATAAATAATGTACTTCTTGCTACAGCAATGATTTTGAATTTCAGCTCTTTATAACACTTGATGTTTTTTGTTTTCCCCTGTGCAAAGCCATTAATTATTGGAAAATAAGAAATATCAGGAATCCCACAAGAGTTGTTTTAGGGACATTGAGCTTACCCAGAGATCAGGGAACATTGAAATGTATGACCTTATTCCCTGGACTTACCACTTTTTTCTTTCCATTAAAAATTTGGGTTTTCCTTTCCCATGGAACATTCCTGAAGCTGCCCCAGTGTTTGTGCATCCACCTGCAAAGGCTGAGCTGGTCAAACCAAGGCACCCCCCTGAAGAGACACGAACACGTCCAGTTCAATGAGTTCCTGGTCATGGACATCTACAAATATCGGGTTCCCAGTCCCAAATCCAGCCAGGAGCAGCTCAGCCAGAAAAACTCCGAGGAGACCATGCCTGGAACAAAGGATGGGAGAGCTGGGAAACCTTCAGGTATCTCCTTTGTCAATAAAATAGATCAGATCTTTCTCCAGTTCAGGGATCAAACATTCTCTGCAGAATTAAGCCATGAGCAGSATCTTGGTTTGGGGCACTGCAAAGAGGACAGAAATCGCTTTCTCATTCCCAAATTTACAGTTCTGTTTGGATAATTTAATTTGATCCTACTAAATATTAAAAAAAAAAAAGATAATTATAAAAGATAGCACAGAATTCACATATTTTATGTCCAAAGGAGTGTTGAACTTGGGATGTCTCAGGGTATTTGTTGTTAGGGATCTTTTCCAAGGCTTCAGGACAAGCAAAGAAGGAATTCTGGGAATGGTGAATTCTTGATAAACAGTTGGAAGATCCAGGTCTGTCCTTAGGCAGCTCAGTAGTCCCTTTAGYTGGGATTTTGGACATACAGGAATTTTCATATTTGTCATGTAAAACCAATTTGGATACGTTATCCATTGCCTTTGGATGTTACAGCCCTCTGGRTCTGTGYAATGAATTAAAATCAGTAAAACACMTTCATATCCCATGAGGAAAGGCACTGCAGGAGCAGGGCTGCTAATCTTAAATCCTTGAATTTCTCCTTCCTCTGGCAGAAGCAGAACAACCACTYGGTACCAAACCTCTCTTCATGAATGGTGCCTCCTCTTCYTCCTCCTCCTCCTCGTTTTTAATGTCCCCAGGAGCTTTTCCACTTGCTGCATTCCCTGAGTGCAGGTAAGTTAGAGATTTTACCCTGTCTTTCTATTTCTGTCCCTTCAAATTGTGTCCCTTCCTTCTGTCCTTGTCCTGAGGCTGCCCAGTCCCAGAATTTAACATCTGTCCCAACTCTGGGGTGATTTCTAGTCCTGGAGAAGGGAGTAGGGGAAGTTGCAAGCAAAACTTAAAATCTCCTTCCTGTAGTTAATGGTGCAGTAAATCCTTCTGAACAGCCATAATCCCATTGGTGCTGTTTGCCTCTATCCCTTCCTTTCCTTCATTTTAAAATGGCYGTGAGAAATCCATAGATTTTTTCTCTCAGACATTTTTTATTTCAGTTGCACCTGCCATGAATTCCACTTGCTAAGTCACCCTTGGGGCTTCTACTGATAATCCTTTTCCATAGAATCCCAGAATGGTTTGGATTGATAGGGAACTTAGAGACATCCAGTCCAATCCCCTTCCCATGGGATGCCTTTCACTATCCCAGGATGCTCCAAACCCCATCCAGCCTGGCCTTGAGTACTTCCAGGGATGGAGCAGCAGGCTTTTATCCCATCATCCCAGAATGGCTGGGGTTGGAAGGGAATTGAGAGATCATCCCATTCCATCAGCTGCGATGGGTAGGGGCACCTTGCACTATCCCAGATTGCTCCAACCTTGAACATCCCAGGGATGCAGCCACACCCTCTGCCCCAGTTTCCCTCTAGGAGCCACACCTTTGCTCCAGGCAGGAATTGTGGCCGTTCCCGCTGTGTTTGTGCACTTCAGGCAGGAATTGTGGCCATTCCCGGTGTGTGTGTGCACTCCAGGCAGGAATTGTGGCTGTTCCCGCTGTGTGTGTGCACTCCAGGCAGGAATTGTGGCTGTTCCCAATGTGTTTGTGCACTCCAGGCAGGAACTGTGTCTGTTCCTGGTGTATTTGAGCACTCCAGGTAGGAACTGCGGCCATTCCCGGTGTATTTGAGCACTCCAGGCGGTGTGTGTGTGCAATCCAGGCAGGAACTGTGGCCATTCCCAGTGTGTGTATACACTCCAGGCAGGAATTGTGTCCATTCCCAGTGTGTGTGTACACTCCAGGCAGGAACTGTGGCCATTCCCAGTGTGTGTGTACACTCCAGGCAGGAATTGTGGCCATTCCCAGTGTGTGTGTGCACTCCAGGCAGGAATTGTGGCCGTTCCCAGTGTGTGTGTACACTCCAGGCAGGAATTGTGGCCGTTCCCGTGTGTGTGTGCACTCCAGGCAGGAATTGTGTCTGTTCCCAATGTGTGTGTGCACTCCAGGCAGGAATTGTGTCCATTCCCAGTGTGTGTGTGCACTCC